CTACAGGGACTGGAAGTTCAATTTTGAATCAGATCTCAAGCCAAAGGTCTGATCTTTTCTGCTCTTTTTTTGTTTGGTTGTCGTTTTCGTGGTGCTCTGGGGTTTGAGATTTCTTTGCCTTTAATGGGGGGGTTGTTTGTCGTATTGAAAGTTGGAACTGAATTGTGGACTACTAGAGTTGCACATGAGTACATACACAAAATAGGAAAATAAGAACATAATTTTTGAGCTCTGGTAAATATAAAAGAACTTATTGGGGAGTAATGGAGTATTTACCTTCTGCTTTTTTGGCATCCACTGGCAATTAGTTATTTAGCATGAAAAAATGGTGGATGGAGTATAACTATAGGTTAAAACAGTATGTTGCTTTCTACCAAAAGATACTATTGACTATGGGTTTCTTTTGGCACCATCAAAAGCTTGAAATTTGAAGTTGTCTATGTGGTTTCATGCTGGTTTAGTTTTTATTCTGTGATCTTTTATTTTATCTGATCTTATATTTGTGCCTGGGGGAGTTTTCTGATCATACTTTTGATTTGTGCACTCTGTACAAGATCTTTGGTCATCTGAAATGAAATAGTGAATGCATCTTGCCTTATTGATCTAAGGCCTAGTTCTGTTTCTGAATATGCAGATATGTATTACCACAAGTACCTCGGGTAGCTTAGACCAAATTCTTCCATGGATGTACTATCATAAAGTTATTGGTGTATCGACATTTCTACTTTTTGTGGAAGGAAAGGCAGCATCACCTACAGTATCCAAAGTCCTTGAGTCCATTCCTGTAAGTTTATAATATCTACTTCTGTTTCATTGTCTTCTCAATTATGTTTTGCATTTGTGTTATTGGTTTTTTTTTTGGTCTGTTAATACATGGTTTAATGGAAAATGGATATCATGTATTGATTGCAGGGAGTAAAAGTAGTATACAGAACCAAAGAGCTAGAGGAGCAACAGGCTAAGAGGTTTGGTTCAATATTATGAATTAAATTAAGCTTGCATTGTTGCACTTTAATGCATTTTCATTCATGTTTCATTTATAATGCATAATTGGATAAAACTCGGCAAACAAAGTTACTGCTTTTTATTCATGCTATGGCTACTGTGAGAGAGAAACATTGGAAAGTGCATTGAAAACATGTTTGATTGTATAAATTTTTTAGAGTATTCAGTTCTGCAATATTGGAATTTACAGCATGGAATTCTCACATATGCACCTTTTGATGTCTATTCACTGCATATTCTGTTCTTATGTTGTAGCCGGATCTGGAATGAAACGTGGTTGTCAAGTTTCTTTTACAAACCTTGCAATTATGAGCTTTTTGTGAAGCAATCGCTTAACATGGAGATGGCTATTGTGATGGCAAGGGTACAGAACATTATACTCTCACATTTCTTTCCAGTCAGATATTCTGCTCACAAACAGTTGTTAAACATTGTTCTAAGTAATAGTCTAAAATTTTTTAACATGACAGGAAGCTGGTGTTGAGTGGATAATTCATCTAGATACAGATGAGTTACTACACCCAGCTGGTGCTCGTGAGTACTCTTTGAGACAATTACTACACGATGTGCCATCAAATGTGGATATGGTTGTATTTCCAAATTATGTAAGTTGTTCAAAATATAATCAATCAAAACTGACATAATGAAATAAATCAGATGATAATGAAATAAGAAAGGTTTTAATCTGCTGTCACTATGGTACTTCTTTTGTTCAGGAGAGCAGTGTCGAACGAGATGATATTAAGGATCCTTTTACAGAGGTAATCTATATTTCGAATTCATTATTTCTGAGACCTAATGGAATATGTTAATATGTTATTTTATTGCTGGTTTTCCAAATGATCATTATTGATGAAAAGTTTCTTGCATGAATGAAGCAAAACTCCCAGGAGAATAGGAGATCTCAAATAGTTGCTATTCACCTAAATCTGTGATTACTAGCATTTTGCTGGTTCAAAATGTTTAATTTTTAGTTTGATATATGCTTCATTCATAATTTCATACCATGATGTTTGCATAAAATGACGGGACTCAAAATTTTTCTGTCATATTTTGTCCAAAATAGGTTTCAATGTTCAAGAAGAATTACGACCATCTAACAAAGGATGCATATTTTGGAATGTACAAAGAAGCAACTCGTGGCAATCCAAACTACTTTTTGACTTATGGTAATGGGAAATCAGCTGCTCGTATACAAGAGCATCTTCGTCCCAATGGAGCACACAGGTGGCACAATTACATGAAAACTCCAAAGTATGTTTTCTTCATGATCTCATCAGTACATGCTCTGAACTTCTTTGCTCTCTCAATTTGTTGCTATTTTGCATATTTGTCTAAATTGTGTATCAGTGTATGGATTAATTTCATGTTATATATGGCAGTGAGATTAAATTGGAAGAGGCTGCTGTTCTCCATTATACATATTCGAAGTTCTCAGATTTGACCTCTAGACGAGACCGATGTGGTTGCAAGCCTACAAAGGAGGACGTTAAGCGCTGCTTCATGTTGGAATTCGATAGATCTGTGAGTTTCTCCTTGCATTTATTTCTCTTGTGTGTGTGTGTGTGTGTGTGTGTGTGTGTGTGTGTGAAAAACATGCGCTTATTGTTATGATGAAATTCTTATTGGTATTCTTTTTTATGTTGATGCCTTTTATCCTGTAAGTTTAAAATTAAATAATTTTTGTAATATGATGCAGGCATTCATTATTGCTTCAACTGCAACAGAGGAGGAGATGCTGAACTGGTAAATACTAAATATAATTTATCGAAGTATATTCAATGCCTCCTATAATACCTCCCCCCACCCCCCAAACGGGTTTTGTTTTGTGATGAGTTTTGTCAACAGAGAAACCCCTTCCAGTCGATATCCAGAGTGGATGGTTACCTAACAAAAAATAGATACAATATCCAGAGTGGATTGTTACACTTGTCCAACTATAGTTGTTGGAATATATCGAGTATTGAATGTTTAAAATAATTGTTTTTACTGTTTCAGGTATCGTGAACATGTTGTCTGGACAGATAAAACGCTTAACTTGAAACTATTGAGGAAGGGCATTTTGACTCGGATTTATGCTCCCATGGTGAGCTTGTTTGTCTTCAGAAATTTTTATTCCCAACCTTTTAATGATGTTCTATCTAATTGAGCTTTTCACTTGGTATTTTAGATACAATGAGTCTCGTAATATAATTATTTTCTCGTTTCTGTTATTCAGGCAATCATCCAAGGACTGAAAGAATCTGGTGTATTTGGCACTATTATTGCATCTGCTCAGAAAAGTCTCTCAAAGGACAAGTTTCTAGCGTCCATCGAGAAGGGCAACTCATCAAGAGCCGTCGCCTCTCAGTCACTTCCGTCGAGAAAGATTGGTCGGAGCCAAGATTCTCAGGTGACAGCGAGGAAAACGTTACAGATGGCTCCCTTCGAATCTCACGAGCCAGCTGTCCCCCCATTGTCTCCCCCAGGCATGGATATCGAAACCGTGATTGAAGCATAATATGTTCTCCGTGCATGGCTGCTGCTGCTTTCTTCTCGTGTTGTAGTGGAAAGAGCGGGATTTAAGCTTTTAGCAGTTCCATGGATGGCGTTCATACTTGCTCGATCTATACCTATTCCCGATCATTTACCCAAGCGGAGATGTACATGTGTTGGAGAGATGGAAGAGAAGGGAGACAGACGATGACTGCGCCAATACATCGGATCCTCATCATTTTGTGTATAGAAAAAAACCATTTAACCAGTGTGGTCATTCTGTGACAATATTTTTTGAGGGATTTGTATTTGGTGTATCATATTTGGCTTCTCATTTGAGCTCTAAATGAAGTTGAGTAGTTAATGGCTTTGTAACTTTTGTTAAATGCAGTTATAGTAAAAACATTTTTCAGTGTTACCTCAAAGAGCATAAAAGTGGTGATGATTGCAAATTTTTTTAATGAGTAATGGGTATGAATTGAGGTACAAGGAATTCTCTACAGTGCCATGCTGTACTCTAAAAGCTTAAAAATGTTAAAGTCCTTTTTGTTGCTTGTACCTCTCTGCCATTTCTCTGGCAAAATGAGAGTACAACTATAGTGGGGGTTGGTTCCTGCTACAAACATTGTGAAGGTTTTGCTTTGGATTAGAGCATCCTAGATTCCTAGAGCATCCTCCACAATTGCTGTTTCTAAAGAGTTTTTGTAGGAGAGAAGAGAAGGGAAAAAAAAAAAGCAGATCTGACAAAAGAAGATCTTACGCGCCTGCTGCGCTGAACGCGCGGGTGTTGCGAAACAGAAGATCTTACGCACCCGCTGCGAAACAGAAGATCTTACGCACCCGCTGCGAAACAGAAGATCTTACGCACCCGTTGCGAAACAGAAGATCTTACGCACCCGCTGCGAAACAGAAGATCTTACGCACCCGCTGCGAAACAGAAGATCTTACGCACCCGCTGCGAAACAGAAGATCTTACGCACCCGCTGCAAAACAGAAGATCTTACGCACCCGTTGCGAAACAGAAGATCTTACGCACCCGGTGCGAAACAGAAGATCTTACGCACCCGGTGCGAAACAGAAGATCTTACGCACCCGCTGCGCTGAACGCACGGGTGTTAGGCAGCTTTTTCTCCACGCGGGCCCCATATTTCCAGACCAAAAACCCCTCCTTGGGTGTTTGGCAGCTTTTTCTCGACACGGGCCCCATATTTTCAGACCAAAAACTCATCATACGCTGCGCGTTGGATGTTGCGCAACTTTTTCTCCGCGGGCCCCATATTTTCAGACCAAAAAACCCTCTTCATGCAAGTATCTCATTTCTTCTCTCTCATTCACATCATCCTTGTTTTCTCAAAAATCATCCCAAAAATACTATTGGGGATGGCCTTAGACTCCTTGTTCACAAACGTATACAGTTTGATGTTAAGTCTGAAAGCTAAAGCAGGCCCGGGGTACAGCAAAGCAGAGAAACTCAAATTGGGAAAGAAAAAAAAAAAGCAGATACCTGATTCAAGGCTATGTTAAAGAAACAAACACTGTAATTTAAAGTGTAACAGAAGAATAAAGCTGATGTCTGATGACAGGTAGTTAGGACAGGAAGCAACTGACCAGTTGGCTTGTTTCCAAAATAAGCAACTGAATACAGGACACTAACTAAGAATACATTTATACACTAGTCCCTGATATTATAACAGGTGACCTCAAAAAACTTCCATTGACAAAAAGAATGCAAGTTACTGATGATATAAACTTTACTCCTAACAGTCAAAACAAATGGCTCAAAGCCCATTTAAGTATATTGGCAATAAGACAGATAAAGGGTGGGTGTGTCATTCTCCCAGGCAAGATTTCTTCTTTTTATACATGAAGTGTTTTGTATCATTTATAGTCTTTTGAGTTTTTAACTTCCCTCCAGGTGTAAGTTGCTCCCTGTTCACCTCCTTGAAACCTCGAACTTTTGAATGTTGAAGTATGGTATGAAGAGCCTTCCCTCTTCCTGGAACCACCATAGAAAGACTCCCTCCCGGGATTAGATCTTTCTAGGTCAAAATACGTGGGCTGATTACTCTGAAACCCCGACTTCTTCCAATTGTTTCCCCTAGGATCACAATGGTTACCTGAATTCCATGGCTTGTGATCCCTGTCGATCCAAGAATTTCGAGTCTGGAAACCGTTGTGATCCTTATCATTCCATGCATTTCGACTCCAGGAGCCGTTTTTGTTATTGCCCCATTCGTTTTGCCTTGTGCACCCAACGTTCCCACTGTCATGATTCCAAGAATTGTTGAGGCCACTTGGCGCCCCGTGCCCAGGGTGGTCCCTATCGTTCCATGCATTTTGACTCCAGGAACCATTTCTGTTTTGCCTCGTGCACCCAGCATTCCCGCTATCATGATTCCAAGAATTGTTCCAAGTATTATCGAGGCCGCTTGGGGCATTGTGCCCAGGGTTCCAACCCCATGAAGAGCCATTTCCACCGCCTCTCCATCCAGTGCCCTTGAAAGGCCCTCCGGTTCTTGTGCAACTCTCCTCCCACGGATCGCCCACGTTTTTTGAAACTTTCGATTCACTCCACTCGCCCGAACCCTGTCCTGCTTCCGGAGTTCCATTCCCCTGTCCATAGCCAACCTCCCAAGCATTCTCACCGTTATTAAGATTTTTATTATCGTGTGATAGTGAGCATCCGGAAACATCCTCTGAGTTGTTGACATTTGATTCGTCAGGATTGAAGAAATCTCGATCTAAATCCAATATCATTTCGGGGTCAACCGTTGCATTCCAATCAACATCATCAACGTACTTACAGGGATCAGGCAAAGGATTATCAAAGGGAACGCCATTAGTCTTAGCCCAATATCTAGTTTTGGCATCATGAAAGGCTTCTTGACTTGCAGAATCGTCCCACTTAACCACACTATCATGGCAGGAAATGTACTCCTTTGTATAGATAACCTTGTTCCAAGGAATCCCCACGGACTTGCAGAACTCTATCTCCCATGAGGGCACACTATTCTCCTGAATAGCTTCAGCGTTTGGAAACAAAAATAATTTAGAAGCCATAGTTACAAGGTCACAAAATACCATAACACATTTAGATTTGAAATGAACGTTATCACGAGTCAAACAGATAAATATCATACATCCCATTCGGTAAATGGTAGAAAATAGAAATCCACCCTAAATGACAGCAACAAAAACAAACAAGCTTTCCACAAATCAGCAACCGAAAAGGTTTGTGATAGTATAGGCAGAGAACCTTGTATATATACTTCTCCGATTCCATGCCTAAAAATCGCAACCATTATCAACAAATTATTTACCATAGAGCTGCAGATATACAATTCCAAGTGAAATGCTAACTCCCCTCACCAATCCAAAGATTAAACGTGCAAGCACACTTAACACAAAACTTCCCTCCTTGTGATCCTTTTTGTCAGGTATTTCTACAATATTGTGACTCTACCCAGACTCAGATACCATGAAAATATACAAACTTTAATGATTTTCCCAGAAGTAAACTTATCCTCCAAAATATGGTTCCCCTGAACATTTCATCTTCAACTTCTTCATAATTTCATTCTCTCTGAGTTCTATGTTGACCTATCAGATTTATTTACATCTGGGAGACAACAATGATAATCAATAGAACAGTGAGCAAAGAGTATAAGTTCTGGCAACAGCCCCCCAATCCTGCCCCTTTCACCACACACAAAATGCAATTCATACAAGCACATAAGCAACAAAAAACAAAGCAATAAAGTTACAATCTTTTTTCAATTAATCATCACATCACGTCCATCCCAGCAAGGCAAAATTTAAATTTATCACACAAACGTGCCGATTTCAAACCATTTTTCAGGAAATCAAACGCGGGAAATTGAATGACGGCGCCACTAATTAAGATCAGAAAACGGAAACCGCAGAAACGCAATGAGAAGAAAGGTACCGGAATCAAACTTAGCGTCGAAGTCAACCGGAGGGAAATCTTGGTATTGGTAGTTGTAGTTCCTTCTGGGGAAATATCTCCGATTCCATTTGCCCATCTGACGTGATGGGTGTGAGGGCACGCAAGGTAGTGCCTGCAGAACGAAGGGTTCCAAGATCTAGGATCCCAAAGCCTGCTCACTTCTGGAGCCACTGCGCAGATGCTACGAATTCAGAAAGAGGTTCATAACGGCGGAAGAGAGAAGACAAATGGGGTTTTTGCGAAGCATTTATAGGAAATATACGACAAGCCAGTTGTTCACGGTTCGATCAGGTTCAAGAACATGTTACATACTTCGATACTCTGTAGTTACTTTTGCACTCTGAAACTATTTAGAAGGTAAATCGCATCACAAAAAACCTAAATTGTTGAATTTGGGAATTTGTAGTTTTCGAGTTTAATCGAAATTTAAATCACGAAAGGTAATAAATCACTTATATTAAAACTCAAATTCTTATATTGTAATTATCAAATCAACACTTAACTAATTTAGTTAGGAGATTATTTTTAAATATATATATTGAGATATTTCATTTAGTTAGTATTAAAAATGTTACACAAAAAATCGTAAGTATACTCATTATAGGAAAAGAAAATTACTACAGAGTAATATTGTTCCTAAACTACAAAATAATACGGAGCATATAAATAATTAAATACAAAATTTTGTGTATCTATAATTTGAAATTTGCCCAGTAGGTAACATGTATTACAAGTGCACAATTAATCGTGACAGACAATCATATGTCATAGTCAATTTTAATTTTAATTTTTTTTTTTAATTTTAAATATATTTTATCCATGACAATAATTACAAAATGTATAAAGTAAAGTCATGATGAACTCATTTTCAAAAAAAAAAAAAAAAAAAAAAGTCATGATGAACTCAATAGGCAACGTGTATTGCATATTTGCATGTGTGCACTGGGTATTAATTTTCTTTAACATACATATATACATACACATGACACCACCCCCCCTCTCCACACACACACACACATATATATATATATATATATATATATATATTTGAGAATATATTTAATAAAACTCTTTGACTTATGAAATCACTGTGCAAAAGTTAAGAATTCAGAAAGAGGTTCATAAGGCGCAATAGAGAAGACAAAGGGGGTTTTTGAGAGGCATTTATAGGAATGAAATATACGTACGATAAGTTGATTGTTCACATGTTTTAAAATTTGTTTAATTATAAATAAATTTTATCTACATATTGGCAAAAATTAAAAAGTACACAAAGTAAAATTACGATGATGAGTTTAATAGGTGATGGACAATTTTAACTATAATATATATCTACACGAATCAATTATAATGATAGTGTGTAATAATAAAGGTCGAACCACAATTTCATCCAAGTTCATGATCTTATCACGTATTTAAATTAATTAATTAATTTAAATATATGAATATTCACCAGTTGTTATATCGTTGACCGCGGTACACATGCACCGCGATAAAAAACGGCGTCATTTCTTTAAGTAAATAAACGGCATGCCGTTACCGCTAACGGAATCCGCATGTTTGGTGTATTAAACACCAACTGACACTATAGTTTATCTAAATCGACACTGTCTCATGACAAATGAAACTGCAGTTATATCAAAATGATACTGTAGTTGTGGTGAAATGAAACTGCAGTGTATATAAAATGAAAATGAATAACATTTCATATATTTGAGTGTATATTGTACAATGAAGCTGTAATTATATCAAAATGATCATGTAGTTGTGTTTTAATAAAACTATAGTGTATATAAAATAAAATTAAATAACATCTTACATATTTGAGTCTATAAATATCGAATGAAATTGTAGTTATGTCAAAATGAAACTGTAGTTGTGTTAAACTGAAACTACAGTGTATACAAAATGAAACTGAATGACAGAGTCACTTTTTTTGCGGAAGGATGCAGAACGGCGGAAAACAAATGTCGTTTCTTTTCATTTAACAAAATAATGTCGTTTTAATGCGCGATTCATAATCAATTATGCACCGTGCACGATATAATTTGCGAATATTCACTTTTTTGGGCCAAATGTGGATTAATTCATTATCATTATTCGTTGGGCTTCAATTAACGAGTCCAATCAACATAACTTGAGCTTGCCATTCTTCAATTACATTTAATTTGGGCACTGGATCAATTTAATTAATCCAAATAAATCAACAATTGACCCGATTACATCAAGACTATGTTCAAAACATATGAATAAACTCATTATTCACTTTCAACCCTTGTCAATATGTTTTAAAGCATTATGATATTTCAATTAATGACTATTGATGGATTATATTAATCCGGAGTCCGAATTATATAACCCGAATGTATGAATGCATTATGACGAATAAGGATTGAATCAGTGTAAATGGTAATATAACGATAATAATGAACGAATATACGTCATGGGGACGAATATTGTATTAATCGCGTATAAAGTGCTATTACAGGAGTACAAGACGTGTAATAACAAGACAAGAGTGTAATTAGGCAATCGTTATGCGTTCGACCCGTGTCCAGCATGTGTAACAGTGCCGTTAGGCACTGTTATCTCTTTTTTTTTTTTTTTTTTTTTTTTTTTTCAAACCGTTTCGTTATAGGATATATGTTCATAATTTTATTACTATATGTTAATAACTGTATATTCATAACTCCACAAATGTACGTTCATAACTCTATAACTGTACATTCATAACTCCATAACTGTACATTCATAACTCCATAATTTTACATTCATAATTTTCGAAACTCTATGTTCACAATTTTAGAGCTCTATGTTCATAATTTTATCACTATATGTTCATAATTGTAAGTTCATAATGTCAGAGCTCTTTGTTCATAATACGATCAATAACTGTACATTCATAATTCCATAACTGTAGATTCATAATCTCATAACTGTAGATTCATAACTTCATAACTGTAGATTCATAACTCTATAATTGTACATTCATAACTCCATAACTGTACATTCATAATCTTCGAAGCTCTATATTCATAATTTTAAAGCTCCATGGTCATAATTTTATCATTATATGTTCATAATTGTAAGTTCATAATGTTAGAGTTATGTGTTCATAATTTCATAATTGCATAACTGTACATTCATAATCCCAAAAAAAAAAAAAAATAACGCCGTTAACGGCAAAACGCGCGCAATTTTTTTTTTTTTTTTTTAAACTAAATGACGCGTTTTTTTTGAAAAATGACATCGTTTTGGGTCTGTGTCCACAATTCATTGTGGACACAGAATTGTGGACACGGGTCCAGGGCATAATTTGCCGTAATTAGGACACAAGATGTCTAAACAAGACAGAAATGAGGGCTTTTATACTCTATATCGCTCCAATAAATCGGAGAAATTGGAGAAGGTCCCTTCAACCACTTTGGACCGCAACGAACGCGGGACGACTTGAATAATGCGAGGACCCCAAGCCTTGGCCAAGCATGGAGCTCGACCAAGTAGCCTGCCTTAGGCGGCCGACCCCTGGGGTGGTCCAGCCCAAGGAGGCCGAGCCAAGGGGGCCGACCTCGAGTCACCACGTGGGCTGCTTTGACGCAGGTTTGTCCGACCCGGTCCGTAGTGTTCCGCTCTGTAATTATTCCATCAAGTATATTAATAAAAAAAAAAAGTTAGTTTGAGATAAAAATAAATATTTTGATTGAATTAATAAAGGGAAAATGACACTTTTTACCCCTGAGTTATATACTTATAACACTTTTTCCCCCTCAATTATTTAGGTAAGCACATTAGTCCCCTTAATTATTCTAAAAGTAGTGCTTTTTCCCCCTGATATATTAAATTGACATTTATACCCTTAAAGTAAACATTTTATTTATTTTACTACTCCAACAAATTCTTGCGTATACGTAGGGATGACCACGGTTCGATTTGAATTGAACCGGATACTAAAGCAATCGAATTAATAGTTTACGGTTATAATTCAGATCTAGAACCCAATATTTAAATGTCAATTTATTAAAATTATGTATCAAAAAAATTGAATCTTGAACCGTGAACCGGCAGTTCCGGATCTGATTCGCGGTTTTGAACCGTCTTTATTTTAAAATTTTATTTTTTATTTTAAAATAGTCTAAATTCAACAATAAATGTATTTTATTTTTTCAGTTCGGAACATGAACCGTCCGTTCCGGTTCACGATTTTAATAAACTCTAAATATCGAATTTCGATTCTAAATTGTAATTGGAATATTTCGGTTTGGTTGCTAGTGTTTGTTTAGTTTAAACCAAATTATGGTCATAATTTGTTGAAGAAAAAAATAAATTAAATATTTAGTTTAAGGGTAACTATGTCCATTTATCATTTCAGGGGGAAAAACAACCACTTCAATAATTTAGGGGGAAAAAATACTATAAGTATATAACTCAGGAGGAAAAAGTGTTATTTTCCCATTAATAAACTTAATTAATTAATAGGGTTATAGAGCATCTCTATTGATCCAATAACACCAACATTATTGTCTTCATGTATGCATTTATCGGTCTTGGAGATCGAATTCTTATTTAACAAGATTAAACGCCGTCAAAAGAATACGTCTCGTATTCTGTGATTAAGTCAATCATCACATCAGTAATTACTATGTAATATATGATTCGCCTAAATGCTTAGTTGAGAGGTACCATGTCAACTTCATGAGAGGATCTTTAACATGTTACTTTAATATAAATTGAGAATTTCATCAACGTGTTAAGAACTTAAGATATTCTAATTTTCATTTCATGTATATTATGACTCTGACCAGATTAGAGCCTTTGTGCAACCTATCACATTTATTGTATTTAACTCATTAACCTTGGATTAGATTAAATAACAATTGTCAGATTAAACAGTTTGTTTGTTAATCACAAAGTTCTAAGTTAATTCCTATTAAAACAATCTATTAGACTTCTTGATTTGAGTTGATTAGTTATTGACAACTTAAACAAATTTACCTCATTATAAGATGTTACTGATTAAGATTACAAAATGAACTTCACATAAAAGTCTAAAACACACCTCCAACTCTTCATAAATAAAAAATTAAATAACACTTATTCTACTCAATTCAAATTGTTCATAATTTGAGGAAACATATCTTGATCCCTCTATTTGAATCGTATTATGCTATCATTAATTTATTTATTTAATTTAAAATTTGGTTAATTGTTAACCGAATTAACCGATTTCATCCCTCTTTTACTTGTTGTGCAAACAGCTCCTATAGTCAATCCCTATACAACTCCGTTGCATAGCTTCTCTAGCTAGTTGCATTCCAACAAGTCCAAAAGCTTGAATAAATGTTGTCAGTACATCTCATCCCATTTCTTTATGTACTCTGTCTTTATATACCCTTCGTTAATCATTCTCTTTCAGTTTTCTGTCGGCTCAGAGAGTCAGAGATCATCTCCTCGCATTAATTGGGTGCCCATTATTGAGCTTAGTGCAAGAAAGCCTTATAAATTTTAGTTAGGTAAAGCGGCGAGTGTACACCAGCATGGGTTTATTGTAATGCTTTAAGGTTGCTTTCAAAGATTGAATCTTTTTTTTTTTTAGTGTTTGCAATGTACCAATGTGAGTATCTTGTCTGGTTTCTTGAAATGATTAATGATGGGGGGTTGGTGTTGAGGGTTTGCGTGATTGTTTTGGAGACTTTGACAACACCCGTTATTTTCATTGAAAAGGGTTTTGAACTTTTCCCCCTTTTCCCATCCTATTTGGGGCTGAAATGATCTTTTTTCCTTTGTTGTTGGAAGGGATTTCAGATTTTCAGCTAGGGTTTTTGTTGGGTGGAGGCTAGTGAAGGGCGAAGTCCAGCAATAAGTGGTTAGGGATTGTAAGGCGGAGGGCGGAGGCCGGTGAAGGGCTAAGTCCAGCACTTTGCCTTTCGAAAATGTGGCAGTACAAGGAAATAAAGTTGTGCCTTTTAGACCTAATTGCATGAATTTGTGTAATTCAGGGACATAATTGCATTTTTTTTTTTTGAGTTCGATGACCTAATTGTAGTTTGGTGTGCAGTTCAGTGGCCTATTGACCTTTATTCCTAACTTTTTGGCGTAGTGGTAATCGTTTGATCCTAACAACTGATATCAAAGTAAACTGTGCAGTTAAGGTTGACAGGTGCGGGGAATTGTTGGGCGGAGGCCTAAAGGGCCAAGTCCAGATCCAACACCCTGTCTCTGTACTGTCTCTTGAAAATGTGGCGGTATAAGAAAATAAAGTTGATTTTTGCGCAGTGATAAATGCTTGATCCTAACAGTTTTTATTATGAACTGAAATATGTAAGCAGACCATCCAAATGTTACAAATGTTATCATGTCTGGTTAATCATCTGGTGGGCACTATTAGGGTTCCCAATTTGGGCATCACAAATCTTGCTCCAAGCTAATGTTCTTTAGGCTTCTGCTTGATCTCACAGGACCAGGTGCACTCTTCAGGCATGGTGATCTTTGTGACAGGCTTGTAGGATGTAGAACCCTGCTGGTTATAGTGACCTCACTGTTAATAGAGGAGATAGGAGAGAGCCTATACTTGTATGGGGAATTAATCTCGGAATAGGCGTCGAACTTCGTTGGCCTTAGCCTTGGGGAGCTCAGTGATCTAGCTCTTGCCTTGGCTGATTCAGTGGCTGCCATGTAAGTTGGCACAGCTGGGGATGCCACAGGGCTGTCATCCCCGATAGAGTTGTTAAACGATCTTCTTGGCGCCCGAATTGGAGACATCAAACTTTCTGTCTTGTATTGTTTCAGCATATTTGGCTTTGCTTCTCTTTGATCAAACCTGTCTTTCATTCTTGCACTTGCAGAGAAAACTGTTCCCAGGTTTTCGAGATCTTCTCTTTTGGCTAGTTGGGCATCTACCCATTGTTGTAGCCAATACCTTTGATTTGTATGTGCACTTGTCTGTTCTGACTCTGCAGACCTCTGGAAATGTATATATTTCTTGGTGTTCATAGTGGGATTTGCAGAAATGAGAAATCAGTTTCAACTTTCAAGTGTTTCGACTTTACTTACCCTATGACTTAACCAGTATTCCCTTATGCGTTCTCTCCGGATTGCAGCATCCCTCTTGGTTAAGAACATAGCATTTGCTTCCGCCTTTGACAGAACTCGATTATCCCACCTTTTCTGGCTGTTCAAATCTATCTGCATATTGATGAAACCGCCATTAAAAAGTGTAAAGTTAACAGAAGTTGCAATGCTATGTTTATGATCTTTAGCAATTTTACTTGCCTTTATATCTCTCTCTCTTAGGTCCTGGTACTGATTTTCTTGAAACTCTGTTGTGTTGTTCACTAAGTTGCACCTCTGGGCACAGACCTCTGACTGGATGTTTACAATGGACTGCAGGCGCTTAAGCGTGGCAATAGTTTGGCGACGAACAGCATGGCCCCGAATGATTGCTTGAAGCCTCACTAGTCCTTTCAATGCTCGCAACGCTTTTCTTGCCTGCAAAAATGGCACATTAATCTGAGTGGAAATTAAGCCTAGGAAGCTATGGTTTCTGTATAAACTTGTTAGTCATCTGAATTGTCCTTTCTTGAGCTTTTTCTTTGCCATTCTTGCAGAATTCTGGCTAGCTGGTAATAGTTTGAACTTGGATTCTAAATTCCCTTCAAGTTTTTGTGCTTTTTCCCTTGTTTCTATGCCATTTAAGGCAACTTAAAGTGACTCTTTGTGCTTCAGTAGGTTGAGAAAGTAGCTATGAACAGATACTACATTGTAACAGAGTCAGTTGTACTCAAGAAAAGTGACAAGAAGTGGATGAAAATATGAAATGTGTTCTGAAACAAGAAGAGCAAATGAACAACTTACAAGATAACCGCGAAAAGCTGTCTGAATTTTGATGGAAGCAAGGGTCTGAATCTCTATATCATAGTTACAACAGTGTTTTTGAGCATGGAGGTGAGGATTTTCTGACAGTTCTGAAATCTCTTCTTTATGGTGATGGGCAGGCTGAGAAACATAGCAAGGCTCCCCCCCGGGCACGAAAGGCACAGAATCTGCAGCATTTGTTGCAGCAGAAGCTATAACCATGGTGGCATGGTTTCCCAGTTCTTCCTCTCTGCAGGCTTCATGTTCATCTTTTGGGTGTGGTGGAGCTGAGAACAAGGCCAACCATTTGATTCTCAGCCTCCCAATTGGCCTCTTTCGCTTCGCCTGCCGACAAAACAAGGTACAATGTAAGAATTCAACCTCAAATCTCACTGATCTGTAAGCCAAAACCTTGTACTAGTACTACTATACCTTCTCTAATCTGGCCTCCCTCCCCAGAACAATAAGCCTTTTCAGAACACTGCACCAGCTCTTCTTCTTTGCCATGGCTTTCACTACTACTTAGAAAAACACTGAAAATAAAAGGTGGCACCTGAGAAGAGCAAGGTTAATTGTCTTCATGGACAAGTGTGAAAGTGAGAGAGCTACAAGTTAAGACTGTAGATTAAGACATGGCTTGTGAGAATGAAAGATCAGCCTTTGTGACCAAACCAGTTTTCTAGGACAAACGTTGGTGTTTTTGGTGGACAGTCAAACATCACTGCTCCCTCTATAAGTTTTCATCTTTTTCCCAAACTTCCAAACACTTATGGGTGAAGCAAGAAGAAGAAGAGGAAGAATGGGCATGAAATCTGGGTAAAACTGTGTGCTGAAAAAAAAACTTGAAATGACTACATTCTTATGCTGGGAACGTGGCACTTAGAAACCATGGTAAGTCCCCAAACTTTTCCTTGGGAAACTCTACCCTATCCCTGTCTTATATACCAAGCAATTATAAGGAGTTTACCTAAATCACTCACATTCATGCCTCACAGACTTCATTTATGAGAGGGTCTTGGTAGGTTGACAACTACTGTAAAATTTTGTCAAGTTTCATTAATGGAGTCTAAACTCTAAACACACACACACCCATACACATATTTGTTGAGGTTTGGCTCAATGTTACGCACCGGTGTCGACCAGAGGCCTAAAAGACCAAATACAACATCCTATCTCATGTTGCGCCTGTGCTGTTAGTTATAGTTTTTGGTGTAATGATCAATGTTGTAAAAATCCCGCCTAGACACCGATTAATCGGCGCCTAGGCGCTAGGCGCTGGTCGGCCGCCTAGCGTATCACCATAACTGATGTTTTAGGCGGCTGGCCGGCTAGGTGTCCGACTAGGCCGCCTAGGCCTCTTAGGCACCGACTAGGTCGCCTAGTCGGCCAATTAGCTATTGTTCATTTCTTTTCTAAATGGGTTATTTCACTCAAAACGACATTGTTTTGGGCAAAATAACCTTAAATTTCTCAAACTCCAGATGATTTTTAGATTAATATTTAATATTTTAGTATTAAAAATTAAAGTATTAAATAGTTTATAATTATCAAGTCTTAAAAAATTAAAAAATTTTAAACAAATTTTCAAAAAATAAAAAATAAAAAAAAAATTATACGGGCGCCTAGGCGCTAGGCGCTCCCTGAACGCCCGAGGAGCACCTAGCTATTTTTTCAACCATGGTAATGATAAGTGCTCAATCCCAACACAGGTAGAAATATCGAAACACGCACACACATATTTGTTGAGGTTGGGCTCAATGTTATGCACCGGCGTCAAGTAGAGGCCTGAAATACCAAATCCAGCATCCTATCTCACGTTTACATTCTACTGTTAGTTATAGTTTCTGGCATAACGATAAGTGCTGGATCCGGACACAACCGGAAACATCTAATTGGCTTGGCTTGAATAGTTTCACAACTTTAATCTTTGTGGGATGAGAAAAATTTGCTGTTTAGGCACATGGGATAAGCATGAAGTGTTGAACAATTGTTGGTGGTAGGGCTGGTGTTGTTGTGGGTGGAACATAAGCCTGATGTGAATGATGAGGGGTTATTTGGAGGGCAATGGGGCCAATGCACTCTCATCACTTGCAACCTTTCACCCCTATAATTGACATGCTCGAATGTTTGCAGAAAATCCTGTAACTAGCATTAGTCCAGTGGGGCTTTGGGAATTTTTTTTTTTCTTTTCTTACCAGAAGGTACAATGGGATTCCTGGATAGCAGTAATTAGCACCCATGATTGCAACTCCCTAAATATGGTGTCTTTCTTCTTCACAGATGAAACCAAAGAATAAACCACAGATAATCATTGTTTTTTCTTGGGATTTTTCTGGGATAAGACAACCTAATTAGCACCAAAGTGGGATTAGCATGTGATGGTAAAGTTGATTTAAGATTGTGTCAAATCAAGAAAGGGAAGTACACTTCATATTGATCCCCATGTACACTACATCTTGATTTCATTATCAAATCACAATAGACTAGGAAAGAGCTGAGAAAATGCATCCATACACAGACATTGAGAGTGAGAGATAGAGAGAGAGAGAGAGAGAGAGAAATGATGTATTATTGCAGAAGGTGGGGAAGGTAGTAATGTGGGATGGATGAGGGGAGTGCAGAGAAGGAAACAAAGCAGCATTGAGTGGTAAAGAAGAAGACAGCTGTTGAGGGCCCTTTTGTCTTTCTGCTATCTTTCTCTCTCTCTCTCCTCTCTTTCAATTTTTCAATCCAGACTAATTCTAAGTCTCCAGAACCTAGAGTCACTAAAGAAGATAAAATCATAGTTGGATTGCACATTAATGGTTACCCTCACGTGTGCGGTGGGTTTCAAGCAACACGTGGAACCCATGACCTTTGGTCTGACTCTGATACCAAATTAAAATATGTGCTCCATTTCAACTAAAAGCTTAAGCTAATAGTTGGATTGCACATTAATGGTTATATGCTCAACACACCTTACATCTGATCAATCAAGATCTTCAGTAGGATTCGAAGCTCATATTATAACTGAAACAAGATTTTAGAGTAATTGGTCGAATTTACTGAGCTAGTTCTGCGGGGCCTCTCTTTTAATCATATTGTGCACCAGCTAGCTACTGCTGCTACACTGTGCAGTTTCTACTTGCTGCTGCTGCTTCAACAGCTTTATGCATTCTTAATAATGGCCGCCATACCAAATGAGTAGTAGAAGTTTCATCAATACATTATGCTGCATATGCCTCTTGCCTGCCATATAGTACTCAGTCCACCCTATAAACACCTACCTATTATGAACATCAGAACATGGTCTAGACTAGGCATACTAGTCCTTGAATTCCCACTTTTTTCCAAATAAATTATTATTGTGAAAAATGTGTTGAAATACTGATGATTTGATCGGGTTGGAGTTTAAAATAATTTAAAATATAGTTTGACAAAGTTAGAAAATTTGAGTTATAAAAAAAATTAAAATAAAATCATACTGACTATAGTAGAATTGAATAAAGAATTGCACCTTAATCTCGAGAGTCTTTACTATTTTATTTTTCTCTAAAGTTCTGATAAAAGAGATAAATTATACTTCTTCAGTTCAATTGACATTATTTGACTGAAGTTAATAATATTAAATTTATTATTAGTATATACAATTTATATATTTAGAAACTACATTAAAAATATTATTAAACACGGAAAAAATTAACTTTAAAAATAATTAAAAATAGTAAAAAATGGTTTAATTAATGAATAGTAAGTAAAATATGTAAAATGAGACAGAGATTAAGATGTATCTTTATGGTAAGAGTTTTCAAATTTTAGTTAAAATTGAATTAATTGATCGAATAAAAAAATGTATTAATTAGTCAACGACCAAACATTTCCAGTTGAATTAGTAATTTTTTTAATTTTAAGAACTTCAATTGTTGACTCTTTGTGTTCCAATAGGTTAAGAAAGTATATTTAGACAGATACTACAATATAATAGAGTTAGTAACATTTAAAAAAACTTCGGTTATCAATTAATTCAATTTAAAAAAATCAATTAAATGAATTAATCAAATTATCAAAGTTTACTTTTTTTTTTTTAATTTTATTTTATAATATATATAGTTTTATATACATAATCTAATAATATATATATATATATATATATATATATATATATATATGTGTATTTTTGAAAACTTGTATTATAGATTTATAGGTGTTAGAATTTGATGACTTGTATTATTGATTGATCATGTGTAATTTCTTATTATTATTTTGAAACCCTAAACCTAGGCTAATCCCCAAATCAAAGTCAAAATCCCTGATTTCCTTTTCCCGTTTTCCTCTCTCCTGATCCCGGACAATGTGCGGAACTGCGGACAGCGGTGGAGCCGTGGAGTGACGACGCGAACCAGCTGAGCTGAGGTAGGTCTTTTCCTCTTCTGCTTTCTTTTCTCTGTGCGTGTTGTTGTAGTTCTTCTACTGTATTTTGCATATTGCGACTCGCGATCTGCGGCTGCGGGCTCCGGCGGTGTGATTTTAATATGTGCCGGTGTGTATTCCGATGTTGCTGTGTTCATTGTGTTTTGACGAAATTAATGCTGCCATGCAATTTTGTTAATCTGCTATATGAAATTTGTTTGTGTTGTTTTGTTGTCGTTTGTTTTCGTGTCTCAATATCATTAGTGATAGATAAACTCAAAGGAAATTCAAGATTTTGGAATGAGAATATGGAACCAAAGAAAGTCTGAGATGATGTAAATGGTACTCATATGCAGTTTAGGATTAAGAAAATGTTCTAAACTTCTAGATCATATGTCAGGTGTTTGTCTTTTTTATTTATAACGTCTATAGCTCAGTGAATTCCAGCTCTTGATTGCATAGCTTTCTTAGTCACTTTTGACTATAGAGCTCTTGGGGTATATAGAGGAATATATTGTGAAATACTGAGACTGCTGGAAATTGGAAAATAAAGTATTCTTTTACAGGAGAAGTTATGCCATTCAATCAATACTTGAGCTATTTGTGGAGTAGTTTTTTACATGTTTGTATTAATTTGTATTAGACTTTAATTTATGATATATTGATATTATATAGGATGACATGCAACAATATAATTGAATATGTTCATGAACAAGTTAATGAACATGTTACAACTCCATCATTCTCTTCAAGTCAACCAATAGAAAGTAACAATCTCTTACTGAACAAGTAATCACTGTTGAACAGGAGGAGATTATGTTGAAGCCTTGATCGATCTTGGTGTCATTTTAGACATTGTTATGATGTATTGGTTGGTTTTGATTTTAGACATTGTATTTAACTTGTGTTGTAAGATTTTTATATTTTGGACTTTATGGATTTGTTGTTATTGATTGGTTTTCATGTGAAGTATTGGACTAGTTATCATGTTGACATGTTATTTAATATGTTTTATTGTTGATTTGTCTTAAAGCTTATTGGCTTTGAAGCCTTTTTAATGGCCTACATATTAATAGAGTTTAGGGTTTTTATTAAGGAGCGGGCAAACTGGTAGACAGTAGTGGGTGATTAAGATATTTTACTTCAAATTTTTCTTGTTTTTCTTAGGTGGTGGGATTTAGTGAGAAGGTTTTCTTGATAACAATTCCTTTGTGGGTGACTTTGTTGAATAGATCTGGCAATAATAGCCATGACTACGGAAGAGACATCAAAGAACAATAAACGACCTCAAGTGGTGAAGATGGACAGAGCATTCAAATTGGTAAATGATTCTTGGTTGTCCCTAATGTTGTCAAGTGATGTTTACTATGTTTATTGCCTCTATCTATTTGTATTTGTATAAGAAAAATCTTACATTGGATTTTAAGTTGTTGATTGGCAGACTAATGTGTATAAACCAACTCAACTACTCTGACCATTTTTTTAAGGGAAAAATGCAATTTTAGTCCCTCAATTGTTCCTTGCTAGCAGTTTTAGTCCCTACTTTTTACCGTTGCAATGTACACCCCTAACTCTTCAAAAAAGTTACAGTTTTAACCTCTAGAGCAACAAAAGTATTAAACTCTATTAAAATTTTACTTAGTACATGTGTATTTTAGTACTTTTAATGTTTCTTCTTTAATTATAATCTTGTTTAGTCTCGATATTTCATTTGTAAAATAAAAAAAAACATGATTTTAACATGGTCATATAGGGAAAATAGGGACGATGTGTGGCTGTGCCACAATTGAAAATGAAAATTTAGGGAAGAATGTTGTCAAATCTCTATTTTCCAGATGAAATACCAAAACTGACAATGTTATAAAGAACAAATATAATAAAATTCTAAAATATCCATGTACGAAGTAAAATTTTAATAGAGTTCAATAGTTTTGTTGCTTAGGGGTTAAAAAACAACTTTTTTGAAGAGTTTGGGGTGTACATTGCCATGGTAAAAAAGTTAGGAACTAAAATCGTCAGCAATCAACCATTTAGGGACTAAGATTGCATTTTTCCCTTTATTTAAAAACTCGTGTGCCTCATGAAAAACACTAATTGTTTTACCTTCTGCTTGGTTGAACTGATCATTTGCAGGCAGAACAATGGGTTAATAATATGGGTAAATCATCAGATGATGATAAACCAAATGGAGCCATTCTAGAGAGTCGGCCTCCTAGGTTAGTATCTTCTGAAATGCTGTAGCTTTGTTCAAATCACGTCACCTAAATGTCGAGTTTTCTTACTCTTTCATGTTGTAGGCTTGGAATTGGTGCAATAGTTCCTCGTGAATCTAAACACGTACGTTCAAATGATCCCTTAGAAAGAAAATTGCGCGCTACATTGAATGCTAAAGAAAGGAAAGCTGAAAGGAGGGCCGACGAACGTGCAATATCTGCCAATGACAAAAGGGTTGATGAAGACAGTGACGACGAGGAATCTGAAAGCAAAACCAAAGCATTTTCCAAGAAGAGACCTGCAGTTCTCCCCTCTCCTCTTAATCCTAAGAAGAAACAGAAGTAGAACATAAACAGAGCAGGTGCATGACATTGTTTAGAAGTCATTGTATCCTATATGCTTGCTGGGCTCTTATGTAGGGACTTGGACTTGGGAACAATATTGTTTAGGTTATAGCCCAGTAAACATATGTAGTAGATTAGTACCTCCCAAATCACAAGTACTTAGCCTGCTTTCTTCAATGAAGAGGCCCATCTTTGATGGAAACCTTATTATAATCACTGTTTAAAACCAAAGCCCAGTATATGATTTCTGACTGGAAGGCATGAAAGCAGGGCAAATTGTATTACAATTGGATTATTGATAAATGTTCATTTTTAATATATTGAAATTCATCTTTAATTTATTAAAGGTTTATTTGTAGTTAAAAATGATATATTTTTTTAAAAAAACAAATAAACATTGAATATACTAAAGTTTTGGTCTTACCTTATCTAGATAAAGTATAAAATTGGGTTTGTCTTATATTATTGTGGATATTAGTATAATCAGAATTAGAGTTTGAGTTTATGCCTAAAATGGACAGATCTTTTATGTGCATCGATATTTGATTTTATTTATTGAATTATTGAATCATTTTAATTTATATCTTCCAAATGTTTTATTAGAATAGATTATAGAGTGTGAGGGCTATTCCGCTATTGGAATTAGAGATTCAACTTTTTAGAAAAAGGATTTAAGTTCAGGTTCAGAAGAATGGAAGATAAGCCCAAAAAAAGAAGAAAAAGAAAAACCTTTTATCATACATAGGATGATAAAGGTATGTTTGACTGTCCTAGGAATTTCCAAGACCATAATCTGGAATCTTGAGGAATCCCCCCCAAATCTAGCCAGTAGCCAGCAGAAAACGCAAGATACCAACCAGCAACACAGCACCATTGAGTTCCACGTGGCACTCCATCCTGGAAATACCTTAACAGGCGCCACGTGTATGCCACTTGCAAAACGTGTAGCCACCACCACAGATATGTGTCATTGCACAGGTCCACTTGAGCAAATCTGGTCAGAGGTTTGAAGGGATCACTTTTTGTTGTTAATTCCTTAAAAAAAAAACATCACAATCGCCTATGTTTCCACCCCTTCTTCTGCTGCAATTGTTTTGTGGTCTTTAATGGTGCTGTTGAAAGTTGTTTGGTCATACATAACTCAAAGGCATCAGAAGTACGTATCAATCACCAAAGTTTTTTTAGTTTAATTAAACTCATTATAATATATACTAAATTAAACTTCATATTCGGCCATAAAATTCATATAATTGGGTAAGGCATCAAAGAAATCAATGTCATATGCTCTACCTTTAAGTTTGATATGATTAAAGTTTATATAAAGGTGTTCTAAGAATCAAACTTAAAATAGTTTGACACAAATAATAATAGTGATCTGATCCACATATATATGATTATAAGACTAGAAAAAGCAAGACTTTACAGATTGTTAATAACCATATAAGAGTTTCCATAACAGTTACAGAATATAAGATATTCTTTAACAAAAAAGTGAACATTTTATAATATCGCAAGTTATAACGCTATATATTTTACAAAGTTATATTTCAATTGTGCTTTACCATTTATACTTTCCTTATGTATCTCTAGCAAAAAAATAAAAATAAAAAGCACAACTTTATGAATTAAGCACACGATGTCGTCAAAATTTTCAAAAGAAAATTTCTCTTGTCAATTTTTTTTTTTTTTTTTAACTTAATTTTGTATCATCCGATGTGATTATTATCATTTATATTGAATTATAATTGACTTCATCAAGAATTAACAAGATAAAAACACGTTAAATTTGATAAAAAGAATCATGCTATATAACCCCTATTAGAATTACTAGCTCCCTATCCCTGATGAGTCATTACTTTATCAATTTTTTTTTAGTGTTTAACTATCGCGTGAATTTTTTATTAATTCATAATATGATGATTAATTTTTATATAAGTAATAATAAAAAAAAAACAATACCAACTACCACTACTGAAAATTATGAAATTTCCGACCACCTAAAAGTGATCTTAAATCAATTCGAAAGCAAAAAGTGATCTGAAATAGTAACAAAGATTTTTCTGAATACCAAAAGTGGTCGGAACAAGACTTTCGACTTAGTTTAAGTTTACTTTCAGATGGTTGGAAATTTCATAATTTTCAACAGTGTACTATGTAACATGGTACACTTGAGATATATAAAAATTGATGCATGCATGCATATAACATTGGTCTTATTGTACTATGACAAGAAATGCAAAAGCATATATAATTGGGTTGGGTTGGACCGCCATATATAGATGTACAAGAAGACCACTTTCAATCTCTAGAAAATATCGAAAGGGATCACTCCAAAAAGCATCACATTAAGATAACACACCAAATCTTGACCAAATTTTTGGCTTGCTTGACCATCCAAATGATCTTTTAAACTCTTAACCTTTCTTTCTTGTTTCTTGTACTCACCATCTACTTAGCTTCCTTCCACAAGATAATAATAAGGTTTTTTTAGTCAAATTTTTTGTTGCCAAGTAAGAGAGAGGAGTAAAAGGTAAAAAAAAGTCTTAAAAAAAAAGATATTATTTATATACCCAACGAGAGCGTACAATACATGCACCCATTGAGAGCGGTTGGTGTGCGAAATACGCACCAACAGAGCTGTTTTCTATTGATTCTCTGTGCTTCAGTAGATTGAAAAAGTAGTTATGAACAGATACTGCAATGTAATAGAGTTAATAGTATTAATGAAAAAAAAACCTTTTCTTTGTGGTTTCTTGTACTCGCCATCTACTTAGCTTGCTTCCACAAGATAATAATTGAATTTAAAATAATAATTTCCACGTTTCGAAATTCACTATGCCACGTGTTGATTGGCCAAGTGTGTTTGACCGGATTGAATATAAGGTTTGCATGCGTAGGTACCACATGCATTGTCTTTGAGAACAACATGAACCATTGTGGTGGACATCCTCGCTTTCACCAATGAACTTTGGGTGCATACACAAATCTAGATTATCTAGGTTTTCGATTTTTCATTCGTCCTTCTTTTGACTTAATTCCAATAGGTTTAAAGTGGTGATGAAAATGAGGACAAGAAAAGAGAAAGTCATTTCCCTTTCAACATATATGCACACATTCAAGAAGATTATATTTTACAATTTTATAATATTTAGTGTTTTGTAAAATTGTATTGTCCTTATATATATCTTTGGTCAAACATGATATGTGTACAACTTTGTAAAGCATTCTATATTGTAAAATTTCTCTGAGAATGTATTATTTTTAGTCTTAACGTGTGTCACTTTTAGTCTTAAAAAGTGACACATTTTTAACAATTAAGGAACAAATTTTATTTATTTTTGAATTGAGAGTTAAAAGTGAAAACTCTCAAATAATCAAAAGAACAAAAGTGAAATTATAACACTCTAGAAAATGATTTTGCCTTGAATATTTTCTTGAATTATTTGATTTGAAATTTTTTATGTTTTCAACGGTTTAAAATTTAACCAAATGAAATATATATATATATATATATATATATATATATATATATATATATATATATATATATAAAATATTTAATGCAAACATTTTAATTAATTAAACACATGTATGTAGCTTAATTTTAGTATGAAAACAATAGAGCATGAAGTATATTATTAGTATCGATGACTTCTGGTTTAAAAGGAAAAAACCTGATTAATATATTCCTTTTAAGGGGTTTGGATTTAAATATCATGAACCAAGTAGCATGTATAATATATATTTAATTTTGTGGTGCAAATGGACTAGATCTTCAGTAACTACTAATACCCTATTTAGAATTTTGAGTTAAGTATGAGACAAAATAGCTAAAACTCTACATATTTAATCTACTGTTCGAGAAGCAACATAACACGATATTAACTATGACTGGAGATCTGCACTGCATCCGCTTATGCTATTACGTGGTTAGACTATTTTTAGATTACATTTCTTCGATACGAGTTTGAAAAAATATTGATGGAGTATATTATTGGTAGCACCCATTTGATATATTATTATGTGTCAAATCTAGGCTTGGACCACAAATCCACAATTTAATCATAGTGTGAATGTGTTCCTTCTCTTCTGTCATTTTAGTGGCATCTCATTTGGTGATTTGGTCCAAGCTACGTGATTTATTGGATACGTATCTTATAAGTAGCATGTGTAAATATTGCAATAATATTTTTGACCAATTTTACTTTCCTTTAATAAGAAGTCTATTAATATGTTCGTTACATATATTTCCAAATCCTAGGTCACGACCGATTTGTTGCCCTGATAAGGATTTCTATCGCTGGTCTCCATCCGCTTCTCTCGCAATAATCTTCAAGCAAAATAATACGTTTGAGAGTTTAATAATACAGTTTAGTATGTATCATCGAGTTTATTAATGATTAAAGTTTTAGTAAAAAAAATTAGGTCAACCTTTAACCGCTGATTTATCAAGATGAATGAATCAAATCAGTCTCCACATTTAACATACAAGTATGTTCTCACTAAACCTAACCCATATATCTATATATAGGTGGGCAAACATTCGTGTGGGACTTCCGTGAGACGGGTCGAGTCAAGATAAAATGTAATACTTATACTGAAAAATATAATATTAATAAGGAATAAAATATTTATTACTTTTATGAGAAAGTATATTACATTTGACGAAAAATGTATTGCTTTTACATTTTGATTTAAAACTATTGCATTTTTTTCTAAAAGTATTATATTTTTCCATATAAGTAACAAATACTTGCCAACATTACTTATACGGGAAAATGTAATACGGAGTACTTTTGATGAAAAATGTAAAATTTTTTACATCAAAATTAAATATAAACGTATTACATTTGTCCTCAAAAGTATTATAATTTCCCTTATAAGTAACAAACACTTTATTCCTAATTAGTATTACATTTTTTTTCAGTATAAGTATTACATTTTCATATTGGCGCGACCCTCTCACAAATAAGGATCCTTGAGGCAGTCTCACACAAGTATGACCATATAGGAGAGGGTTAAGATAAAATTATACTCAATAACATGTACACCCTATGATATAGGCAAATGTGCAATTGACAAACGAATGCATTTTGTAATTTTGCTTGATACAATTTTACATTCACACTTTTTGTAGAAAGATATGTTCTCATCTAAATCGACTCTTATATATAGATTAAATTTAAGAAGGTGGAGGTACTATAGACTTTCCTGGAAATCAAAACTTTTAAGTATGGGGTGTTTGACGATTAGCATCCTATTTTTCATATTCATTGCATTTACCGCACTATA